GTAAAATTATTGTTTCAAGGGGCCATAGATATTAGAGTATTACTTTAAAATTTGGCTCAGAATTCAAACTTGAAAATAAAAGTGATTAATTAATATCAACTAAATGGTTGAATAAATAAAAACAATAATTGCTTTTTTAAACCATTAACAGTAAACTGTCACTATTGAAATGATAAAACATTGTCATTATTGAGATGATCAAACACTCATGATTTTCCCAATCCAGTCAATAAATTCACTTAAAGGGCTATCCATGAGAATCTTGGTTTTGTGCAAAAAACAGAGTAGAAAGAATTATTCATTAAAATCTTACTTTCTCTGGAAAATATTTTTTAAATATCACAAAATACATTAGGGATTACTATTTCACAAACACGTAGAGTAATTATTTTGGAAACCAATGATGATTTTTAAATTAGTGAGTAAAAGTAATAATAACAAAAAATCTACCATTGTAGTAGGTGATAGTCAACATGTTAACAGAATGATAAAGTGATCATCAATATTGTACAAAGACCATGTTTCCTGACGTGATTCACTGAAAAAGATACTTCGTCATAGTTGTGTAAATTCATGCCAAAAATACATAAACTAAGTCTAATCATGACGACACCAAAAAATCTGGGGGGTCATGCTACAAAATAATTGATCTACACCCATCAAAAATACAAAAATACTGAAAGAAAAACAGATCAAGGAACTGTTCCATTTTCTTTAATCAAAAGCAACTGAGAGTATATTGATAACTAATTGCAATGTGTGGTTCTGGATTGGCTTTGGGGCCAGGAAAAATAAATCATGTTGCTAAAATCATGTACCCAAATATTTTTATAGTAGTAAGAAAGAGTTGAAGTTTGAATAAAGTCTAGATCTTAAATACTAGTTATATGATAATGTTAATTTCCTGACTTTAACCATTGTTCTGTGGTTATGTAAGAAAAATATCTTGTTTTTTGAAAACAATAAAGTATTTGAGGCAAAGAAGCCTTATGTGTAAGAGAGGGGCATTAGGGAAGCAATTTGCCTTTATAGAAATCTCTCCCAGGGCTGAGGTTTTGGCTCAGCAGTGGAGTACTCACCTAGAATGTACGAGGCCCTGGGTTTGATCTCAATACCAAGTAAAAATAAATAAAATAAAGGTATTGTGTCCAACCACAACTCAAATATAAATATTTTTTAAAAAAGAAAAATCTCTTTCAGAGAGATTAATTAATTGGGTGAGTCTGGGTGACAAATATATAAGAATTATTCATATTATAGGTGAAAATTTTCTATTACTTTAAAATTGTTTTTAAGTATTAAAAATAAA